TAAAATATATCGCTCCTCATCAATGATGTAGTCCATAGGCTCAAGTCTACCGTATTCATCAACTGCATTACCGTGCCCGTCTTCGTAGAAAATTTGAAAGCTCATATTGTAATACTCGGTTTTTAATGAGAAAGGAAGTAAAAAAAAAAAAAAGATCTAACGGTGCTTTCGTGCTTAATATACTCATATTTTGTACGACAGGGCTCCTACATATACGACATTCAATTTGTCAGCAAGCGAAATCAGCCAATGGTTTACGTGACAATAGAATTTAACGAACGCGAATTTTACTCTTGGCATCGGTGTCAATAATTTTTGGAAATACTGTATAGCAAATTAATAGAACGTCGATGAGACTCTTTTGCTAATGAAGAAAAGGAGACAAAAATAGTCAAATGCCACACATTAGGCGCTTGATGACCAAAAATGATTGCACCCTCATCGGAATAAAACTTTATTTTGGAAGTCCTTCCATAAATAGAAATCAGGTCAAGCCCAGCTTCAAAGCAGAAGACAAAGGAGATAATGGATACTTGGAGAAAAGACAAGATTAAAACAATGAGCATGCAATGCTTATTTATTATATTACATTTTAAATTTAGGAACTGGACTCTTTTGCAAGACAAAGAGAATGCTGACCACCAGCTGACAAACGGAGAACTTGTTTATCGCCAACACCTTCAAATACTTGTAATCGAGGCGTGGGTTCATCTCTATCACTACCATTGCCAATAGCATTACCTGAATTATAGCCCCAACAGTAGCTTCGGCCATCCTCGGAGCAGGCTAACCCATATTCAGGACCGACTGAAATAGACACAATTTTCTCCAGACTTGAGACAAGTGTAGGTGTTGGGACATAAAACCTAAAGGCAGAGTCGCTTGAAGTCACCTTCAAACTTTCGAGTACATCTTGCTGCAATCCCAATTGATAAGCATCTCCTCGACCATAAGCATAGACTTCGCCACTTTTAGTAAGAATGAGTGTATGATGTTCACCGCCTTGGACAGATACAATTTCACCAAAGTTTTCAGACAAAGGCACAAGTATAGGCTTAAAGATAAATTGCCTTTCATCATCACAACACTGCTTGTAGTTATTCAACCCCCATGCATAGAGCTTGTTGTCAGTAGTGACAGCTAAGGAATGATAAGACCCAGCGCCAATCAACTTGACCTTCTTCAATCCAATGGAATCATGACGAAGCCAATTTTTTTCAAAGCGAGGAGAAATACGGCGTGCGAGCTGGCCTTGGGCACCATAGCCCCATGCATAGACGCGACCACGATTGGTCAGTGCTAATGAATGGTTGGCACCTGCAGCAATGTCAATAACCGTTTCAGTTCCCAAGGCAGGATGGAGCATAGGAGCCGTTCGTTTGTTGATACCAATACTAAATCCAAATGTGCCTTCGTTGCCACGGTAAGTTCCCCAAGAGTAAATTTGTCCGTCTTCAGTTAGACCCATCGAAACATTGTCACCACAGGCTACCTTGACAATCGTTGCACCTCCGCAAGAGACTGGAGCAGGAGTACTTTCTTCACCTTGTCGACCAAGCGCGCCTTCATCATTGCAACCCCAGGAATAAAGCTATAAAGTAACAACATCAGTCTATATTTTTGTATCCTCTTGAATTTACACACTACAGCTCCTTCAGAATCAATTGCAATGGAGTGCATGCCACCACAGACAACATCTGTAAATTCTTTATCCTTCAAGGATTCTACAAGGGTCAACTTGTTGAGTTCTTCAACATCACCGCTCATGCCTAACTGGCTAGCATCATTTGAGCCACAGGTAAAGAGCTTTCCTTTTTCAGTAGCACGTGGGATAGCAAACGTAGTTCTTTTGCGAGATAATTTAGAGGATAAAGGAGCAGAGGATTTTTTACGTTTAACCATAAGAAGCTGAAGTTGTTGACTGATTAAAGAAAAAGACAATAACTAAAGCTGGAGACTTTATAGTTTTTTCGATTTTTGGTTTTCATTGTCTTTTTGGTGCCAAATTTGATAAATGTAAGCAATGCACATGACAAGCGTAGTTTTTTTATTATATTTAAAGGGAAACAATAAATAACACTAATGTACCATATGCTACTGTTGTATTATGTTACATTATAGACTTGTGTATATTTCTATGTAGTCATTCAAGAGATGTATTTATACTACAACTATCATTAAAGATGTAAATTCATTATATTCTATTTGTCAAACAATTAAATATTCTTAATACTCACAATAATCATCCTTTTTCAGAATTCTGCGTTTATTTATTGCTAAGAAAGTTCTTATTATAACCATATAGCTTGCTTGATCTTATGTCCCATCTTTTTAAATAAGCCATCTGTCTTTTCAGCTTCTTTCAAGCTATTGATGCATCTTTAGTATATGTTTATTCTTCTTGTGAATGTATTACCTTATAATAGGCTCATGAATAATGAAATCATTGTCATCAGGCGTACGACCAGAGGCAGAACAAATTGCCTGAACAATGATTTCGATCTGCTTTTTACAACTATCTACTTTACCATCTAATTCTCCCAATATGTTGTATCGAACTGCTTTAAAAGCAATAAATGAGGTATCTGATGCTTCCGTATATTCTTCCTCTTCTTTGTCATTCTCAATGTTCAAATCACCAAGGTTTTGGTTCAAAATACTCCCTGTGTTCCATCGGACGAGCTCTCCATTAGTTAGATGGTTGATAATAAAGCCATAGTTTTGCTCTTCGTTTCTTGATGCAGGTGTAAGCGAAGAAAGGATATATATGCCAACTTGTATGGAAGTAATCATATCCAGCTCAAGTCTTTTAAACTGAATCACTTTTTCTAGATCATAATTGTAGCTGCAGACATACAGAGCCTTTTCTGTCAATATGACTACTTTTTCTTCAAATTCTTTAGGTCTAATGGGACTATAAATAAGCAACAATGATTTATACGTATACCTTTTGCCCTACCTTATCTTCAATGGCTCTGATGGTGAGAGTAGTGTCCATCCTGTGATTTTTGTTTCATCATCGGCTACTACAATTTGGCTGCTAGTTTCAACTAGAAGCAAATGTTAGATTCAATACGTATGAGTTATATATATCGTACTCGCATCTGATCGTATCTTTGCCCATCTCCTTTCTATTCCTGGTTCAGCAGACATCTTGACACTTTGAGGCACATATCTAAATATTTCGCATTTGTGGTATCCTACAAGTGAGACGTATCAGTATATGTTGACTATAATGTAAATGTGCTTATCAACCCAATACGAAATCTATAGTTGCTTGCTTCCAGAAATCCTTGACAGTGTTAAAGTACATGCGTGTCAACGAGTTGGATGCGTCATTCATCATTCCGGTAAAGTTTCGTTTGCCAGTTCTAGTGTGTTAGTTGTTAAATATCCCTCATTATTTAAGTATTGTTCATTACTTGCCTTGTGAAATCTCCTTTTAAAGCGCTTGTCCCTGCGTACATTCTTGATATCATGTCTCCATTATTTGCCCACACTATGTCACAAAGTCAATTTTGCTTGTTTTGCAAGTGAATTATTAGCTTATTATTACTGTTATTGAAAATCTTTTCAAAACTATTATAGTATTTAATTCCTTGATCTGGATACTCAGTAATACCAAAGCGCATTAATTGTAGATTCAATACACTGCGTCCAAATGCGCTCTTGAATAAACTGTTACCAATCAACAAGCATCATACCCATCTATCCTGCGTTACCTGTACAACATTGGTTCGGTCTAAGCAATCCATGCAGTTCTATAATGACAAGTCAATATGAGCATGATGACATTTTTTTATATCTTCTTTACTGTTCTAAATACGCCTCCTTGCTCGCAGTAAGTATGCTCACTTCCATCAACAGCTGTCCAAAAATACCTTTTGATTGATTAGAGCTGATATTGTTACAATATGTTATGAGCATATTTACTGCAATTTCGTCATATCCTCGTATAAGCTATTGCTAAGCCTACTTATATTCTCAAACTTCATCCCTCTGGTTTCTTTATGGAAATCAAATTCAACATATCTATAGTTTTGTAATTAGTAAGTTTCACTGACTGCTATATTTCTCTTTACTTTATGTTAGGGTCTCCTAGATCTTCAACATGCTTCCGATACTCTGATCCGATAACAGCTTCTCTCCCAGTTACTTCTGCAAGATTGACCACAATTTGACGACCGTACAGCTCTTCTTGCGTTTTAAAATGCTTTTCAAAAGCATTACTGTTTTCTTTTTCGGTTCTTTCTAATACTGGAACTGGATGTAAGCTATAAGGAGACTGGCTCCAAAATAAAGGTACTAAACAAAGTGAGACTTGTATTCAAATATTTATCGTAATAGTTACTTGATCCTCGTGTCTGAACAAACGATGCTATATGATTTACTTCATCTCTCTTAAAAATAACAATCTGCTCTGTTTCTACAAAATTGGCAACTTGTCCGTCTTCATTAATACCTCTTCGTTGATATCTCATGCCTAGAGATTATCATTAGATTATGCCTTCTTTACGCTTGTCCAAACTCTTGCATTACCTGCTCGCTCCTTGCTTCTTCGAGAAATCAATATAAACTCAAAGCTATACCCATCAATGATACATGGTTCGACCTGCACTGTTCCTTGCATAACAGGAATGATCCATTCATCTAACTAGAAGTATGTTATTTTTTATCATCCAATACAAGACAACATACATTGTGTTCTATAAGGCTTCGTGAAAGATGTTCATTCCACCAAAACCGTTTGTCTACTGTTTTCCATAAAGGAATATCAGAATTTGTCTTGTTCTTGTGTATTCGCTGAAAACTGTTTGTAATATCTTTTTCATTAAAGTGTCAAATATCGTTCATATGCTTTCCTTTTCTGCTTTACCAAATGTATTTGAAAATATAAACATTGACTTGCTAAATAACTCCACGATTTGACGAACAATACGAGCATCTAATAGTGCTTCCTCTTCATCTTCTTCATCTACTTCTTCTAATGTAGATACTGCAGAAGATGAAGAAACAGACGAAGATAGAGGGAGAGTAGTTGTAGTCGTCGGTATCTCCAAGTTGTCTATGATAACCTTATCATTTTCTAAAGCAGATTCTTGTGTAATAGATTCTAATATCTCTTCCTCCTTCTTTTTGGCAAACGACTTTTTGATCTTTGTTATAAAGGAGTTAGACTGTGTCAACTTGACCGGCCGCTTCATTGGATCCGCATGATTCTCCTCCTGTCCCTCTGCTCTTTGCATGCCCAACCTGTGACACGCCTTATGTTCATCAAAACTCAGACATGCTACTTTCTCAATCACGTAGACTGGGTGCTCTAATATGTATCCACGAAGCTGTGCTGCTGTTATAACAACCATGTACTTTTCTATATATCCCTTTGCTTTATAAAATAATAGACAATATTTGCTATATTTCATTCATTACCTCTGAATCCTTCTATAAATCCAAGAATACCAAATATCTCGAACGACTGAACAATATTAACTGGTTCATAGGCGTCTGTACGTGTATTAGTTATTGAATTGCAACTTCTTTATGCATTCAATACCTCTTTTTGTCATTTTAAGTCCGTCAAATTCTATTTCTAATGCCTGGTCTTCCTTGACCAAAACAAATGAGCCTGTAGTGACATACAGTCTTATCGTTTCTTCTTTATGCATCGTCAAGAATGAGGGAAAAAAAGGAGTTATTTTATGACCGTCAACTGACAATACATTTTCAGCAAGCTTCAGCAGGAATAAAAATTAATGTTTAGCGTCGTACAAGCTTCTCATATAAATAGTCCTTGTTCCGACTTTTTGATTACAAGAGAGAGAAGTTGCTGTCATTAAGAATACATTTACCAGCACTGAATAGAATAACAAGCCTGGTAAATTCGACTGTTATTTGTTGAATGAGTGGTGTTGAAAGTAATTTCAAGGTGAAAAAAGTGAGATAAGAGGAAAGTTGCTGCTCGACGTATTTAATTTGAATCATTATAATACTTTATGATCTTATAGTAGAGTATGCATTCTTCTTTAAACGCCTTTATTGTGTGCCAGGTGAGAAGTAAGAATAATAATAATAATACTAAGCTCATCTTAGTAAAGGATCTACCTTACAACAAAGAAGTTTATTGAAAACTCTTATGCTTTTCATTTAGTCTGCTGGCAAGCAGATTCTCTTTTCCTTACCTCGCTTTCGTCATTTCTTGAAAAGTAAGCCTCCGAATATGAGCTTACTGTATTTCATAATAGGATAGATGCCGCGAACAGTTCTTTTACTTATTGTGGAGTTATCCCCTCTGCCACCCAATGCTTCTCAAACAACGAGTGGGTATAGCTCACCATACCAGAGTCATACAAAACAATAATGATCTGTTATACCGTATTTTTACGTTTACATAGAAGAAGATTACGCCTTTTGACGTAATATAGTCAATATATATTCGCATTTAAGTCAAAGTTATCTTAAATATTAAAGTAATACCTCGTATTAAACCCACAACGCTGATTCATGGTATCCGCAGTCTATAGTATTTGATGACGCGTCGTATCTAATATGCAGTTGGTTGACAATATTTATTCTTGCATGTAAAGATCATTTAATCTTTATAAAATGATCACAAAGTCATTCCATCTTGCTGTATTCTTATGCTTCCAAGGTAAACTATTTATTCATTGATAATATCACATATTATTCTGTAATCAATTTTGTATTTCGTTCCGTAGCCTGTTTTAACTTTTCTTTTATTCTAGCTACTGAGTAACATGTGTTGAGATCCATAAAGGAGGTGTATTGCAGCGATGACGATGATGAAATATATGGGACGCAAGAACTGAATCTTCGTGATGTATACCAAAGTCTTCTGAAGTTTTTGAGCTTTTCTGATAGCACGATGCTACAAGGCTTTGGTGGGCTTTGCAGTAAGAATGGTATCGAGTTTACGAAGTCAAAGAACAAGAGACAGCGTACGACGTCGGACGGCTACGTCCGCTGTTGGAAAGCAAGAACACTTGCGTAAGATTATCAATGTAAGGCTTAATGCATAACATAAGTTAGTTAACCAACAGTATCGTGACTAGGTAACCAAAGAAAGGCTTCAGAAAATGATCAACAAATTCAAGGCTAGATCGTGCGTGGACAAAGCCTATGCACCTTGTTCATCATCAGCAAGCCAACCTTTTGTCGAGCGGGATAAAGACTGAAAACCATTGGAAGTGACTGGTGGAACGACAGAAGGTAAGACTGCATTGGCGATATATTATTACATTATCGATGTTTTTTTTTTTTCTGATGTTACTTTCTTAGATTTTGTACGATACATACAAATTGTGAAAAGTCTATTACAACCATAGTGATTGATTACGCTGGACTTGCGACAAATGTTAACGATTTGAAAGAGTTTTTACTGCAAGAAAGGGGAAAGAATAATATGCAGTGCATCTACCAACATATTTTCATGCAATATAAGGAACATACAAATACCACAAGCATCATTGTCGATCGTATGCAATATCTTACGAAACAGAAACACAGTCGTCATTCTTTGCTTGAAACTGACATAGTGAACTGATCAAGTAAATTTTTTGTGGTTATTCATTGTCAACTTTGAAAGTTGATGTCGGAATTTCTCTCTGTGTAGAGAACGGGCCTCAGAGTTCTCCTTACTTTCTGAAATGGCTGTAAAATAAAAAACATTTCTTCACTCTTAAGAATATTATAATTAACTCGCGAATCAGAGCACTTGTATATTTCATTCATAATAAAACAAGTGAAAAGAGTCAATAGTTTATTATATATTCAAGTAATTCAGATCCTTATGCAAGATGTATAGAATATCAAAAAAGAGCAAAGGCAAAAGTAGCATCGTAAGTAATTCGACACACATTGTGTTATTGCTCATACCACTGATTCTCGATCGCAAGCTTATGAGCCTGGCTACTTGAGTAACTCATACAAAAAGAAAAAAAGAAAAAAAAGGCAATAAATAGTCTTCTTTGGGGTAAACAAGTGTCAGCAGATGATGCTTGCTAATTTAAGTGGACGCTCTTTTGAAAAACAATCTTTATAAAGCTATCCAAGGTCAGCATTAATGTCAAGTGGTAAGGTATCATACACTGAACAATTCAAAACACAGATCTATACTATGGCAGCATGTTTCCCTAGTGTCAATATCACCAACTGTTATAGTTTGACAATCAATTAATTATCTTTAATAAGCGTCAATTGTGGCCTCTGTCTTGTTTATTTCTTTCGATTCAAAAATCGGATGCGCATTAAACTTTATTGTGATGATATGCCAATGAGCCAAGCATGAGCCTCCCTCTCAAGCAATTTTTTCTGATGAAAATGCACGAGCGTTTTCGGGAAAAAGTGTATGTACAATAACAGAATATGATAATAATCCAGACTATGAGCTTGGTTTATAGCGTGGAGGTTCATTGCCTGCTCGGGTTAGTTCATGCCTACTTTATTCATTATTTGATGCTTACCAGGTTGTGATTTAAGGCATTCAAGAAACACATTAAACGGTTTTGACACATCCATTGGCCATTTCGTCAATCCTTCCAGTAAATCCTCTAAATGCCCATTACACCGATGCTGTTGAGGCTTGCTAGAAGGCGCTTCACTACGCTTGTTCAAAACGAACCCTTTATCTTCGTCTTTTGACATGTCAATTGAGGCAAAAAGGTTATTTTGTGCCCCCCTGTTCCTGCTGTTTACAATTTTAAGCATTTAAGCCACAGCGTTTTCCTCTTCCGTCTTATTGTCACGGTTATGAACGCGCCATTTGATGTAACAGAGTTGGATAGAACTGTGAAAGCTTTTTATGAAGGAAATGATACTAGACGACAGGCAGCTCAGGCAGTTATAACCGACTTTCAAAAGGATCCAAACTCTTGGCAGATTGTAGATCAAATACTTGAGCAATCTTCATATCTACAAACAAAGGTATAGCTGCATCACATAGCCATCTGCTTCTTTTTCTTCTTTTCATTTCTCTTTTTTTGCTCTGCTTACACTCCTTCAAAAACAGTTTATAGCACTCAACATATTAGAAGACTTTATAAGAGTTCGCTGGAATACGCTACCAGTAGATCAAAGACTTGTTTTGAGAAATTATATTGTAAAGATGATTGTTGACATATCTTCAAATCAGTCCTCCTTTCAGTCTCAAAAACTGCTTCTAAACAAACTAAATGTTGTGCTAGTACAAATAGTCAAGAAGGAGTGGCCCAAACATTGGCCAACATTTATGCAGGAAATAGTTGAGTCAAGCTTTGCTGGTATTACCTTGTGCGAAAATAACATAAAAATCATCAGACTCTTAAGGTTCATACATATCCTTCAAGGGTGAATTGCTAGTCAACTTAGCACACATCTCTCTCTTTTTTTATATTTATAGTGAAGAAGCATTTGATTATTCAACCAGTTTTTTGACTCAAGTCAAGATGAAAAGGTTAAAGGAACAGATGAAGCTTGATTTCAGTCTCATAATCGATTTATGCAACAAAGTCTTGATGTCGGCTAATCAAAGATCTTTAATCATGGAAACTATGAGTACGGTACAGAACCTGACAACATGGATGCCTGTGGAGTACGCATACGAGGATAACTTTATCCAATTAATACAGACCAAACTATATGAATCACCATATCAACTACTGGCCTTACAATGCTTTAATGGAATTCTCAACTTGGAAAATACAATGCAACCAAAGAAGGTTTATGATATCGTGTTTCCATATATCAATAGCATGAAAGAGACTATCATCAATTCCAATTACGAGCAAAATTACACACTTATTAAAGAGGTGGCTATCTTTGTGATTACTATGCTTACCAAGTATAAAAATTGCGTCAGTGATATTAATCAGATTCTGATGTACCTGCTATCAATATCACGAATATCTGACATTGATATATGCAAGATTTGTACAGGATATTGGGAAACATTTGTTGAACAAGATAACTATAGGCAAATCCAACGTGAATTGGCAGTGGTTATTACTGAAACCATGGTTATGCCCAATGATATTCTTAGGGTTCAGGATGAGGATGGTGAAATAATCCAAGAATATGTCAAACAAAGTGACACTGCAGCATTGTATGACTCGATGCAGCACATCTTACAAGCAATAACCAAGAGAGAGCCAGAATTTATACAGTCCGTACTTCATGACAGGTTACTAAAGATCCAAATGGCCTCTGATATAACCACACATTATGACATGCTGTTTAAAATATCATGGGCAGTAGGTGCTCTCTCTGATACATTGACAGTAGAAACAGAAAAGATATTTCTCAAGACAATAGTTCATGATTATGTTCAACTGTCAGAAAAGACTAAAAGCCAGGATTGGGCTATTGTATCATGTACTTTATATATATCTGGACAATATCCTCGATTCCTTTCTTTTCATCATGACTTTATGAACTTCATATTACAAAAAATATTTGCACTTTTATATGAACTGAACAGCGACGTGAAGGATATGGCATGTAATACGTTGCTAAAAGTATCCCAAGGCTTCCATAAACAATCTTTACAAAATGAAGTCTTATCAGAAACGCTCTTAAAACAATTTGAGTTATTATCCACTCATCTTGATCAGCATCAAGTAACTTTTATTTCTCTATTTAATCCTGTAGCTAATATTTAACTCTTAGGCTTCTATGTTATATGAATCCGCAGCTTATATTATACTTACAATGCCTTCTCTTGACTTGCAATTAAGTTATTTAAATAGTATAATGGCACGGCAAAATACAGTGGTAAGTGTATCCTTTAATCTACTAAAGCATCGATATTTAATCAAGGTCAAGTTTATTCATGCTGTTGGAAGCAGCAGTTTAGATTCTTTAAAGGCCATCATTCAGTATTTGAAAATCAATATTGTTATTTGCAAAGTACTTGGAAGTTTATATGGTCATCATCTTAAGCAGATTATTCCTTCACTTATCGAATGTTACAAGATTGCAAATGACGATGAACACAGTTTATTACACAAGCACATCAGGAAGGCAATTATTCAGCTACTTGAATGCTTTATTCTTTCAATTAATTCACAGGTGGATATTTCAGAAATTCAAGGTTTATTGCAAGTGATTGCAGCAGGTTATGTTCAGTCCAATGACCAGAGAGAACCGCTTGTATTATCTTTGTTAACCGACATATTTGAAAAGATCGATGTACGTATACGAAACACCCTCATCTCTCCTTGCCTTTATCCGCTAACGATATTGTTAGAATCCAGTTGCAACAGTTTGGCCCGCTATCCTGAATCAGACGATCGATATTGTGTTTTCTCACACATTATCAATGCTCACCCAGAACTTTTCGGATTTTCCTGACATAAGAACGCAATTTTACAGGCTCTTGGAGGTAATAGTAAAACGATATCTTCAAGGTAAAGAGTTAGCAGTTTAAAGGGGGCAAAGGTAACATTGAACTTATCTTGTGTGGTAGATATCTTTCGTACACCCGAGCTGCTGGATTCTGTCATTAATTGTATCATCTGGGGAACAAAACATACACAAACAGAGATATCACATACGGCATTGAAAACATGCCTATTCGTATTAGACAATGCTCTGCAAGAAGATGATGATGTTGCAAGCCAATTTTTTGAAACTTACTATGTCCGAATTCTAACGGACACATTGGAGATACTATTAGATCCAGACTGTAGAAACGGTAATAAGAGAAACACGCTGCTTATACTTGGATCTCATATTATTTAGGTTTTGAATACCAAACACAGATTATATCCAAAATGCTCAGAATGATTCAGGAAGGCGAGATATATACACGGGTATTTAACCCTGAGCAAGTGTCAAACCCATTGATGTCAAACATGGAGTTTTTGCAAAACTATATACTCGACCTTTTAACGAATACTTATCCGTTACTCCAAAAGAGTCAGTTAGAAGTGCTCGTCATGGGCATGTTTGACTACAGTGATGACCTACAGAGGTTTCAAAATGATATTCAAGATTTTCTTATTGATATCAGAGAAGTGGATGAGGAATCGGTTGGCTATGAAAGGGCACAAGAAGAAACAGAGGCTGAATTGGAGTTATTGAGAAACATTTAATAAAGACAGGCCAGTTTTATAAAAATATATAATAATTGTATCAAAACTTTACAATGTGGGTTTAATCGCGGCGGTATACATCATAAGATCGCTTACGGCGTTCTCTACTATCCGAATGCCTGTTGCTACTGCTACTGTTACTATGTCTTGATGATGACATATCCCTTGCACTGTTTCGCATGTTGTTCATCACGTTGCTTCTATTAGATCGAGGCATATTGTTGTTTGAATTTTGATTTTGTGATTGTCCTGTTGCAGGAGGTGCAGGCATACCCATCGGTAATCCCATCATGGGGTTAGGCATACCATTCATACCAAGTGGCATAGCACCATCCATTAAGTTGGGTGGCATCATCATGCCCATAGACATGACATCTCCCATCGACATCAGGTCGCTCATGTTCATCAAATCTCCCATATTCATATCTGGCATGCCCATGTCTCCCATAAGCTAGAGAAGTGATCAATCGTACTGTCATCACAAACTATCCTTCTTACCTTTTTATTTTCTCTTAGTAGTTTTTGTTTAGCGCAGTATGCTCTCCAAGTAACTTCATTGAAACCATAATTAAAATAATCTGTGATATCAGCACCAGGCTTTCTCCATGGTTTATCTTCAAAATCATCAAGGTTCACTTCTGTAATAGGCTGGCCATTATATTCACCTATTCCTTCAAGATTGATTCCTCCTTGTGCTGTCTTACTGGACTGATTGGCATTTGAAGATGTGTTTGCTGTTGGCGTAGCTGTAGTCTTTGTTTGCTGTCCAGGTTTAATATTTACAAGTGCTTCTTTGGTTTCATCCGATGCTGTTTTTTCACTATTAAATCATAAGCTTACTTTGCATCATCGTTGTCATCCTTCCTACCTCTGCTGTTTTTCATTTTCTGTCTCGTTTTGGTTGTCTTCTTCCGGTTCTAAAATAATTTCAAGATCCTAAAGCAATATATCGTTAAACCTACTTCTTTTATCTTTCGCCACAATTGCCTTACATCTTCACTTTCGCTTTCACTCTTGTCTTCTTGTCTTTCATTAATAACTTGGACATCAACCTCAGATTTGTCGTCTTGTTTTTCTTCCACAGGACTTCTCTCTAGTGAATCCTCCTTTCTGAATACAAGTGTGAGTTTAACGTGTTGACTTTATGCATACTCTTACTCTTCAGTCCTATACATGGATTTTAGTAAACTACACATTTTGTAATGACAAATATTTTACTCTTTATTTTCGTCATCCCCATAAAGGTCGTATAAGTCGTCTTCATCTACAAAAGATGTAAGTAACAGATTTACGCAGCATTTAAAGTATTGGGATACCATTTTTAGAATTGGACTGTCGACCATTATTTAATGCTTCTATTTCAGGAGATCCATATAAAAACTCTTCGTCTTCATCTGGTAAATTGCTCATGTTTTATATTTTATAAAAGAAGGAAAAAAAGAGGCAAAAAAAAAAACTTGATATGGTAGAACAAAGTCACACGGATATCACTTAAAGGAGCCTCTCTTTGACATCTGCATAAATATAATCATTTGATAAACTATTTATTAATGTTTACATATTAAAAGACATGCAAGCATGATTACTCTCTTGCTTGGGTGATGATAAGACTTGCATTTCCTTGGCGCAGTAAATCTACTCCCAACTTTCCAAAGGTTGATACCTCTAAACCATGACCTTGTGATGATGACGCTGATAAAGGTGAGGATGGTGTTTGTTTAGAGTGACGAGCGATTAAAATCAAGTCATGCTTATTTAATGGACGATCTACAGCTGTCAGAATGTTGTTAACTGTCAACTCTTTTACGTGCTTGCTCTCTATATTTGATTTTATTTCGCTCGTAAACAACTTGTCGATTTCTCCTTTATAGCTTTTTATGCTTTCTCTCGTCGCATACACTCCGTCCTTCATGAATGTCCCAATCACGGTTAATTTTGCCTTGTGAGATGATTGAATCTTTAGAGCAAACTCTAAGCAGTTATTACTATCCTCTTTCTCTTGCTCATCATTCATCTCGTAGATAACAATAATCTGTGGCATGAGTCTATCGTCATCTTCCTGTATCAGGCCAAATCCTTTATCGACAAATACTCCCGTCGTACACTGCTGGCTTATCGTATTTAATGCTTGGCTAATGAACTCCAAATCTGCTGCGGTATACTCTTCATGATGCAATAACAAACGTTGTTGTGCCCAAGGTAACAAGACAATGTCTGCATCAACATCAGCTGCATAGGCATAGATACTCTTTATATAATCTTGAGCAAAATCGAGATGGGTATGCAGAGATCTTAGTCCAACCAAGCTTGCAAAGGTCTTTAACACGTTCAACACCGGATCCTGTCTTGCTGTCTCTCCAATCTCTTTAAATTTCATGACGTCCGAGGTTCGCTGTGTTAGTTCCAAGAGTCGTAAGGTATGTATCTCGACTGCGCTCATGGCTTTATCACGATTAAATAGTTGCATCAGCGCCATCATTGAAGGTACAGCTTCGATGCGATTCAACATGGTTACGATACAGTACCTGTCCGTCAACGTTGATATATAACTACTGTTCTTCTCATCATCCATTGTATCCAGTGGGGTAACCTTTTCATTACCATCTATGGTAGCATTTGTCTGCTTTTGATACCATTCGGGATAAAGGTATATAACAACAGGAGTTGTCATGAAAGTAGTGATTAATGCCATGACGACCATAATGACAAAAACTACAAACGCAAGAAAGTCAATACTTTTTCTCTCTTCTCTTTTTAATACTGTTACCTTGATCATTGAGTACACCTGCATCGTGTCCAATATTCAAGACGATAAGTTCTACAAGCCTTTATGGTATCGAGTGAGTACAATGCTGTGTGAACAATGTTCTGCTCTTACCCTTTACAATTCATCAAAAAGCCAATGGTTAAGGATTCCCGATGAGTCATTCCACATAATTTTGCGGTTAGAGTGCATCCAACGATTTTACCAAAGCATGCAAGGAAAATAACCAAGACGACATAGCCCCATACAGCGCCTGTGTTTAGTAGGCCAATTTGTGTTTTTAAACCTGACAGTGTAAAGTACTAGAAAAAATGATTAATATATGAAGCTAGGGTTCAATAATTGGTTACCAAAGGAAGAAAGATGATGTTGACAATATCCTCAATCTTTTCTGTAATCTTGATGGGCAAATCGTGTTCGTGAGGAATAATCACACCAGCTAAAAAGCCGCCAAAGATAGGATGAATACCAATGATGTCTGTGACAAAAGCGGAGACTAGCACAATGAGAAGGGTTACAGTCATCAGCAGAGGTGATGGCCCTTGCTCAAATGAATGAGTCGCAACACACAGTTTACGATACAAGGGCCCTATCAAGAAGATGAGAAATAATGAGAAGCCAACAGCTGTCAAGAAGATATAGAGTGCCTCCAGTCCACCGCTTGAGTTTAGCAAGGCAACGACGAGGGCTAGTAAGACCCATGCAGTACAATCATTGATGAGTCCAGCGGCCATCGTGATCGCTCCGACCTTGGTTCGAAGTAATTTGAGTTCGGCCAAGATACGAGCCAAAACAGGAAAGGCCTAAATGCAAAGTTAATCTATGTCACGCTTTGCTGCATAACGACGATCTTACAGTGATGGAGAGCGCCACGCCCAGAAAGAGTAAAAAACTGCCGAAGGGAATGCTTGGCTCATTCTGTAACTTGTATAGGCCTACACTGACAGCACAACCAAGACCAAAAGGTAAGGCCATGCTGACGACTGCAATGGATACGCTCTTGTGCCAGTCTCTTTTGATAACACGAAGGTCGACTTCTAGGCCAACTTGAAACAAGAAAAACACGAGACCGAGAGTAGCGATAAGGTTTAAGAAGGGTAATGATGCTGAGGGAAATATAATCTCTTGAAAGTGTGGTATTCTTCCCATGACAGTTGGTCCAAGAATAATCCCGGCAATGACTGGTAACACAATGTTAGCAATGATACAGTCATTTATTTTTTTGATCAACCTTCTGAAATAACTCTTGGTTGTCTTAAATAACCAAGTGGTATAGAAATTAGTCGACAGAATATTAGAATAATGGTTGCCTAGCAACTTGTTAGTAAAACCATGGCATTTATAGTAATTATGTATGTATATATATTTTACTTGAATGATAAACAGCACAATAGGATCTGACGAATTAAAAGAGGCTGGATTCAATCCAGTAAATACTCCTGCTTGAGATGTAGCCTTCCCAACCATATATGTTTTGATAGAAAGACAAGGAAATAAGAAAGAAAAAGAAAAAGAAAAAAAAAAAAAGATAGATTGATGTCGATTTATTCTGAGCCAATTAATAGCTGAATAACAATAATAAAGAATGATCCTCAACATGACTTTATCATATGTTCTTTCTTCTTTGCGTATTATGCAACAAATGATATTTTATTCATTATTCTAATGTTTATAAATAGATTATATGCTGTATTTTCAAGAGTTGAATGACGCTGTTACTAAGAGTAAAATCTGAGCTTGTTAAATTCTAATGCCATTGGTTGATTTCACTTGCTGAAGGAGGCATCGAATAAGCGAGCGTATACACTCTATACGGATCAAGATGGATTCTTTGATGTTTGAGAAAGCTATGAGTGCAAAACAATGCTTTTTTTTAAATATGCGCCAATAATTCTTTTATTTACGACAATATCTCATAATTAATAAAAATATAATACAGGTGTATACAAAGAACAAAAGTTGGGAGTGATTTCTAATGTCGCTCATTTTTAAAGTCTAGGCTTACTATTTCCGCGTTCGATTCATTTTCTATCACCTTCAGCAATTTCGGATTCAAGTTCACTCAAATATCTTTCAGCATCAAGAGCAGCCATACAGCCTGAACCAGCTGAGGTAATGGCTTGACGATAACGCTTATCTTGAACATCACCAGCAGCAAATACACCGGGAATGTTGGTAACAGATGAACCAGGAACTGTCTTGATATAACCCTCTTCATCCAATTCAATTTGTCCTTTAACAAGAGAAGTAGCAGGATCATGACCGATAGCATAGAATAATCCACTGGCTTCAATCTTACCAGCTTCCTTGGTGACATTGTTGATGGTAGCAACAGCTGTCAAGAGCTTACCATCGCCAATAGCTTCAGTAGCCGATGTGTTGAAGTGGACCTTGACCTTGGGGTGGGTCAAGAGACGCTTGGCCATAACCTTGGAAGCACGGAGTTGATCACGACGGACGAGGACGTGAACAATAGAACCATCTATGCTATACATTAGTATATAATTCACGCACACACACACACAAGCCGAGATTATTACTTACATTTAGTAAGATAGATAGCTTCTTCAGCAGCAGAGTCACCACCACCGATGACAACCAAAGGCTTATTTCTAAAGATAGGAACAGCACCATCACAAACGGCACAAGCAGAGATACCATTTTGCCAGTACTTGTCTTCACCAGGCAAGTTCATACGTCTAGCAGAAGCACCGGTAGCGATAATGACAGCGTCGGCAGTATCAGTAGGTTCTTCTTGGCTTTCAGTACCTTCACGCCATAACTTGAAAGGACGAGAAGAGGTATCGAGTTTAGCAATAGTTTCAGTTTCGATAGTAGTACCACAGTTTACGGATTGCTCTCTCATCAAGTCCATTAATTGACCACCCAAAACACCCTTAGGGAAACCAGGGTAGTTCTCGACATCAGTGGTAGTTGTTAATTGACCACCAGGAGCAAATCCATTAGCCATTAAACCTTCAAATAAAACGGGTTCTAAGTTGGCACGAGCAAGATAGATGGCAGCAGTATGACCAGCGGGACCAGATCCGATAACAGCAACTTTACGATGTTGAGGAGCCATTTTGTATAAGGAAGTACTAAAATTTCTTGTAGAAATACGTGAAAATAAAGGACGGAAAGAAAAGAACATCTTAATCTGTAATTTCCTTTAAATAATCAATTTTATAAGCACTATTTCACAAATCGTGACTGCAATTAGTAAGCGGATCAGGCCAATGACGATCAGACTCCATATTATTGGTTTTTTAATTTTAGCCAATCAAACGGCTTATTTGTTTATATTTCAAAAAAGGGATGAAAATTCGAGAATAAGGTATTTTATTCGGAATGATTACATAATGGTGCAATCTTCTTGTGAGCCATTCTTCTTTTTGGTGTTTGTTTCTATATTCTTTCCTTGCAAGCGCTGAATAGCTCTCTTATCACCGTGCTGAGCTGCCTTCTTATACCACTCCATGGCCTCAGCAGGATTCTTTGGGACACCGATACCTACTTCTGTAAAATAACCAACAGCATATTCAGCCTTTGGTAGTTCCTTTTCTGCAGCACGTCTAGCCCATAAATAAGCATCTTCATCTGACTGAGGCAAGACACCTGGTGAGCCAACTAAATACCAAGCTGTTAAAGCAAAGCAAGCCTCTCGATGGCCATGTTGAGCAGCAATTGTATAATAGTGAATAGATAAAGCTGGATCTGGATTACACTCTAATTTTCCATATTCATAACATTCACCTAGTCGGAAAGCGGAAGGTGCGTATCCAAGTTCGGCTGCCTGAACATAGAGTGATACTGCGTACTGAACATCAACAAAGACAACGTTTGGTATACCACGCTCATGTAATAGAGCGAGTTCATGAATAGCATGAGGATATTCGGCTGTAACTGCTTCAGCAGATCTCTTGAGCCACTTAACGCCGTCTCTTGGGTTTTTTGATAGTCCTAGTTCCCCATTCACATCAGCCACACCCAATCGATACATAGCTCCAGGATGATTCAGTGTAGCAGCCTTTCTATATTAATATATAAAGTTTAAATAAAGCATATTTAAGGGGGCTCATTTTAAACTTTACTTGTAAAATTGAACAGCCTTTGCATAGTCCTTTCGACAACCTAAACCATCCTCATAACATTTAGCAGCTCTATATAGAGATAAGGCTTGAGCATAAAGGGATGAATTGAATTTTTTCACTGGGATAATTATTATATAGTTTACCTGTAGGCAGCATCAGCATGATGGTGTTTGGTTGCTTGAACGAATAGGGGGAATGCCTTATCGAATTCATGTTTACCCTTTTTACTCAACAGACCAGAAGCATATAGATTACCCAAATAATACTGAGATTCTGCATGACCACGGGCAGCCAGTTGCTTTAGAAGCTTTTCTGCCTCTGCCAAGTATTCTGCACGGGTACTATCATCCTCTGGTATAGGTTTAGCTGCTTCGACCATAAAAATAGCAAAATCACATTGTATGTCAGGGCTATTTGTCTTTTTAGCATTTTCTCTATACATGTTGATAGTTTGAGCATAAGATAATAAAGAAGCGTTACTGCCAGGTTTTAAGTGAGAATGATCTAAGAGTTGGTCGCTGTTTAATGACAAGTTGGTGACAGAGCTTGTCCGAGTACCAGGTGGAGTTTTACTTGTTTCGTGTTGGGATGGTAGAGGACTTGGTTGACGATTGATTGATAATGAAGGAGCAGACATATTATTTGGTGTAGAATATTCAAAATGAGGACGAGGAGGATTGGTATTAAATTGTACTGGAGCTTCCATGTGTTTAGGTGGGGGAGGTGGAGCAGTTGATGTCTTTACGTGTTGTGCCATTAAATGATGAAGGGGGAAAAACACAGGGTAGGAGAAAGAAAAGAAAAGAAAAAAAAAAAGACAAAAGAGAAAGCGATAGTGAAAGTGAGAAAGAGAAAGAGAGGAAGGAAGAGAGGCTTATTTTACAAAAAAGGGCGCAATAACGAGGAAGGGAGTACCTTTTATTGACCAAAAATAGATAAACTAAGGATGGAATGAAACAGTAACAGAAAGCATCCCCCTTGTCTTTTTCTCTCTCTCGCTCTCTTCCTCTCTTTTCTCAGTGGACTTGTCTCCCTTTTGCCTTTCCCCTTCAAGCTATTCCCGGAGAGTAAATAAATAGGACTAAAAATACCTTCATGATATCATGACGAGTTGTCAGTGAAATAAGCATGTGGGGACCTGCAAATAAAAACCGTATAAATATCCGTTCACATAAACAGATCAATTTGATATATTGCACTGGATTATGCGGAAAAAAAACGAGTATGACAATCTACACTATCCAATCATAGCAAGAATGCTCAATCTATCAAGATCAATTAGAGAAAATGCAAGAAAAAAGGATGCTTCGGTTAAAATATTAAGTAAGCAAAAAATTTATCCTTTTCCCTCTGCCCTTTTTTTTATTATCCGGTTTTCTTTTTTAATCAAAGAGTCATTGACGTGCACATAATGTCAGGTTTGTATGTGCTTATTCATCATTGTGACAATAATATTTGCTATCACCATGGCATTGATGATCATGGCTATCATAGTTATCATAACACAAGTTTGATCTATCCATCTGTGTTTATGCTAAAGAGATTATAAAACTGAAACGGGTAATCAAATTAAGTTATTCTATTTTTGATCCGCCACATCATGTCTCAGCCTGGACTTTATTTTTGATATAAATTCGTTACCATCTCTTACTAAGCTGTTTGACATATTTCTTCTCCCTTTCTTTCTTTCTCTTTTTTTTTTTCATTTATCTCTCTTGATGACTTTCTCGCCTGCCACACCACCTTATGACTTTGAACATATTTCTACCAACAAACCATTTCACCAAACCTCGGTAGCTGCGCCCGATATGATGATTGCTCCTTCTTCGCCCCCTGACCTTCATAAGGAATTACCGTTGTTTTGTACAAATCAAATACAAAATAAGCAGCATTGCCATCGCAGAACAAAATCCATGCCTTATAGATCACCTTCCATCAACGATAACAACATCCATAAGCACATTGTGTTTCAGTTGAGCATGAATGATACGATAAGGATCATCCGTGGTCACTCTTTACTCTCATCCATACGTAAACAATCTAGTCAGCATCGCATCTCTCATAGACCTTACAAGAAAAAGAAACTTGGTCATATTGCTACCATGATTGAAATACCCAGATCAATAATCGCTTATGATCCATCCCCTAAATCACAAGAAAAATCGATCGAAAACAACATTCAGCCCAAATCTGCAAAACGACGTGTTGTACAACAGCAGTTTCCTATACAGTACTTACCTCCTCCTACCTCTGGTCGTCCTTGTAGAATCAAAGGTCCATGCCAAGCTTGTCAAGAGACTGCCGATGGTTGTATGCGAAAAGCATTTGATTGGCCATTCGAAACAAGTCAGACATTCTTTGATAAGGGAAAACCCTATGTCTATCTTTGTAATAAATGCGGCTTACGGTAAGAGAATGATAATCACGCATTGCCCACAAACCTGTTTCACTTACACACTCTTAGGTATAACAAGAGTAATGGCTGCGTTTGTCGTCACTGTCGATGGGTGTTTTGTAAAGAAGAAAAAAGAAAAGCGCTGCTCCACATTGATGCCATGCGTCGTCGTCGTCCAGATGGCTACGTTGACCCCAACGAAGAGATCGAAAACTTTGTATGCAATCCAAAGTATTGGTCTTGTGGTAAACCCTGGAAGGTTGGTTGGGTATTAAATACTATCCACAATAGTAACGAGGATGAAGATCAAGATTAAAACCAAAAATCATACCATTTGTATATCTCTTCCCTATCTCCCCCTTTCTTTGTTCAGTTTTCTGTATATAGTGCATATATATAAAAAGTTGATTCCTTTGTCTCTTTTTTTTGTAGGCTGTTCCTGGTTTCCATGTAAACAAATTGATCTGTCGTCATAGTTACATATAGTAATAAACATAGTTCTAAAGGAGACTTGATTTAGCCACGGATGATATATGCGTCTGTATCTTCCTTTCTTGGCTCTATACCTGAATTATTTAGCCGCATAAATCAAGAGCATATTTGTATTTGAATATATTTATAAATGTATTCCTCGCTTTTGCATGTGTTCTCGATCTCTCTTTTTTTTTTTGATCTCATGCTGATACGCGTGCTGGGACCCGGAATAATTTGAAACACGTAAAAGGAAAAAAAAAAAAAAAGATGTATCAAGCACAATCAAAGTATACGTGAAGAACGATCTTTTTCTTATAGCTATTATCTTGTTATTATCTACTTAACCTTATTCTCTTTTTAATTTGCTCGGATATCAACCGGATATACTTTTCATTCGGTGTAGATTGTTTAGTGAATCGAATAGAATATTTTAAATTGAGCATCGTATACCGTAAGAGTATCAAAAGGGGGGAGGAGTAGGCGCCCTTCATCACTTTAAAATATCTAATCTATTCATATTTGTCAAACGATGCCCAAGACAGTGCAGCAATGATGTGCTTGTTTAAAAGCCACTCGCGGACATTAGAGAAGCATGAAAAACACTTGCCATAGTTGTGCACAAAAAGGCGCGTATATACAAGGATAGTCATATATTATTGTTATTTATCTGGTAAGCTTATGTACATGCATCAATTGTATTTAGTCCTCTTCATGCTTATCCGTACGATATATAAGGTCACAAGCGGGTAAATGTAAAGTTTTTATTTATTTATTATTTTTGCAGAGGATTAAAAAACATTGTCCCGGGAAATGGATAAAAGTAGGTTCTTGAAAACGAGCGATAGACTTTGGATATCCGTAGAGCAAGCTTGGATTTAATATTTATGAGCACATATCTATGATCTTGAAAAACTTGAATGTACTCTAACTGGCATAAAACACATTTAGCAAGGACATATCTATCAGCGCATCTCAAAGAGGGTCACTGTAAAGAGTTATAAAGACTCAAACGCATTAATTTCAGAGCAATGTGAAATTCACTCTCTATTGTTGATTACTGTCTGTAATGAGCAGTAATTTTTTTGATATATGGCTGTAGGGAAGCATTAATTAAAGTGCTTGATTAAACTTAAAAATACTTTATTATTTAAATTAGCTGCTTATTGTTATATACTATTTGGATACTAGGTGTTAATCATATAAATTTCATGCTGTAATAATATCTTGAGAAAAAAGAGGGGGGGTAATAATCATATTTATAGTGTGGTATTTATGCATTGTTAGTCATTGCTTGAGCTTCTTCTGTCAAAGGCTCACCGCTCAAGGTATTAAAGAATCTGCTGTAAATACTTGATCTCTTTTGAGATGTTGTCGATGTTGTCGATCGAAGACTATCAATAGACTCTCTTGCCGTATAATTGGATTCCGTGTAAGGAGGAGATGTAGGCCCTGACTTGTTTATGAGCGCAGAAAGCGAGCTTCTCTTGGTCTGAATAGAAATTGGTCTTCTTGGCTGCTGAAGAGAGGCCCTTGGTGAACTCACAGGTGTACTTGCCGCATTGGCTTCGTACTCGACCAGTTTATACTTTGCTTCTGCCAACAGCTTTTCGAGCTCTCTACATTTCAGATCGCTTTCGATATACTTTGCTTGATACTTGTCTTTTTCCTGTTCTACCATGTGGACCGTGTGACGTCGGTTCATGGGCGGTGCAGCTGATGAGGAACCAAATAAGGTTTGGTGCGCTGCTAGTACCTCTTCAGTAAATGATCCACGAGGCATCAAGTACTCGCGACGCTGGTCTTCTAGCTCTTTCACACGATCTTTGTACTGCTGACAGTCGCTCTCGAGATTCATTTTTTCTAACTGAAGATCAGCCAATGTTTTTTTAGCAACCGTATTCTTTTCGATCAATGCTTCATTTTCTGCAACCAGTGCCTCTTGTTCCTGTAAGAGCTTTTCTTTATCAATCTGCAAGCTTTCAATAGTTGTCTGAAGCGACATAATCTTTTCCACGAGAGCTGCTTGTCCCTCTTGAGTTTCCTTTAACTTCTTGAGGACGTTTTCATGATTCTGGCATAACTCTTGATATTTTAATCCCATCTCAAAATTAGCCAACTTGATATTGACAAGCTCCGACGTCACTTCATCAAACTTGGTTTCTGACATGTTGTTATCCTTATCACTTGACAAAGCTCCGGCAACAAGCGCTCCAAATTCACCGCTTGATTTAAGCGATTCAACAAAGTCCGGCTGCAGTTTGATATCGACATGGTCTTCTCCAAGTTGTCTGTCTACTGATTCTGCAGGACTGGGCTGCTCTGCACGGATTTTGGCCAACTCGTCCGTGTCCTTGATATTGACTTTCTTCAGTAGCTGATCACGTTCAGCAAGCAAATCCATCTCTCGTATACGTCGGGCCATCAGCTCCTCAGACATTCTTGTATTCTCGCGCTGCAATTCAGAAACGGCCATGACCAAGTCTTCGATCTGTTCGTGGAGCATTGGCGAAAATCTATCTGGTGTCGTTGGGGAAGGAGGCTGTTCTGTCACTAAACTCTCCTCAGCTGATATTGATTGTGTAGGTTGGCCCCAATTAAACCAAGACTCGCGTTTGTTCTTCTTTTTCGACTTCCAGCCGCTGAAGCGAATATTGAGCAGTTGTTGTGCTCGTGTCGTCTCTTGTTCAAGGTCCTTGTTGTAGTTTTCCGAAATGCTGTCCATCTTTTGCCGGGTGATCACCGTACTGAGCGACATAGCATCCTGAATGACGGCTTCTGGATCTGAGTTGTAAGCAATTTGATACAATTTGCGTGAACTGAGGTACATCATGAGCTCTTCAAAGTCGTCCATAGCCAGTAGCGTCTCTTCGTTCTTTTTCATGATGGCAATAGCTACACGTGTGATTGTTTCAACTGCACCTTCAGCAAAGACCAAATCGTAGATACGCAAAACAAGCGAGATAGGAAAAGTGTAAGCGAACAAGGTAAGATACCACTGAGAAGCATACATAGGTGTATGGATTGAGTTGGCTTCGAGGTGAGCTTCTAAACGAGGACAGACTTGAGCTAGAATGGTCTGGAATTGGTGTAAACGAAGGTGGAGTCCTTCCATATTGAGTGTAAACATGGTTCTCATTTCATATGTTTCCATCAGTCTAAATCAAGGCAGGTTAGAACCTATGCATGGATTCTTTAAAAATGATTTACCTTACGAATATACAAAACGCTTGATTTTCAGGCATCTATTGTGTAAAAAGATGAGACATTGTTACTTTCTGTCTTTTTTTTTTTTTGCTATATATTACAGTCATCAATAAGGGACCAGCTAAAAATGCAAGACCTTGGCAATATCCAACATGCGTATCATATAGACTATAAGCTTTTAATAGTCGACCAAGAGCCAATTGCCCTTCACCACCATCATCTTTAAACATGTCAAGTTGAGGGAAGGTACGAGAGAGGTCACGTTGAATGACTCGCTCATACGAGGAATCTTCCTGCAAGAGTTGTTCATAACAAGACTCAAGATTAAGCGAGCTAGATTGGGCCATGGACTGCCAAATCAGTCCACGGATACGATGAGGAATACCGCCACAGCGTAACTTGGCTGACAGCAGATGGGGCAGTTTAGCAGCAGCTGCAGGATAATCCTCAACGATTGCTTGCCAAAAGTCCCAGTCGTCTTGATCGGTCGTAAGGCAAGTAGTGCTTGTGATTGGACTCTTGGCAAGCATAGCCTGGATTGATTCTTCATAGTTTTCACGAGTAGGCGAAAAGGTGGCATCGGTGACTAGTTTGCGAACTGTATTAAAGTCGGCTTGAAGACGATTTGATTCAATGCAAACAGATTTAGGATCGGCATTTAAAAGTACATTTTGTCTTTCTAATCGAGCCAACAAATACTCCTCAGAGTCCTATTTAATAAAGGTTGAGTTGCATGATTTCTTATCTTGTATTTATATACCTGAGGTGGCAGTTTCGCATTTTCTTCTTCCAGTCGCTTTAATGTTTGATTAAGTTGCTTTGTGGGCGTATGTGTAGCTGTGATTTGGCTGTATAGCTTTAGCTTTTCAGGGGATACAGGAAGTCTTCTTCTTTCAGCAAGACTTGTACTAGTTGATTTTTCAAGTTTAAAGTCAGGTTGTAATAGAGATGAGGAAGTGCCATTAGCTACTGTTGGTTCCTGTAGCCTGTCTTTAATCTCAGGTGCCAATAGTGCAGCTGTTGTCATTGAAAGGGAGTATAATAAAAAGGTATAAAAAGAAAAAGAAAAAAAGATGTAGGAGCTACAAAATAGTGTGTTCAATCACTTCAATGCGACAGGTACCCAAAATCGTTTAATTTCGTACTACCACAGTGAATTGACACCATCTTTGGTAATTTCAGTGCGAGGAATTTTTGAGAGTGAGAGGTTAGAGACTGATCAAACGGTAAAGATATTGCGGTAAAAAAAAATCGTGCGATGACTATGAAGACAATTCACTTAAATAAGCTATTCAGATATACGACCTTAAATAGTAATGAAATAATGTTACATGTTACTATAGTAACAAAATGGACAGCAACAGAAGCATTATTTTTTTTTTTTTGGATAGCTGTCAAATATCTCTTTTATTTGTGTAAACACACAACACAAAGAACAGAACTATTGTCACACATTTCAATTAAGTAAAAAAATTTTTATTGAAGTGAAATATTTACGAATAAAAAGGTATAATCTAGAAAGCATTTTATATACAATAAATTAAAAAGAGGACAAAAAAGAAGAGATTTCAATCCTCTTATAAGTTGGTTTAGCTTCTTCTAGTTCCTTTTCTTTCCTTTTTTGGTCTTGTTCCGTTGTACAATCCTCTGATGTTGGCACTAAGCGACGTATTCTTCTACCTTTACGAATGGAGATCTTGATGCCTTGTTGAGCAAAGCATTGAGAGAGAGGCGTAGAGTCTATAAATCGTCAAGATTTATTCATGAAGCTCTATTTTTATAGTACCTGTCATTCCAGGGAAATTTTTTGCAGAATAAACAGTGAATGGATCAGAAAAGACCACATCAGAAATATCAGTACTCATTGTTAAAGGATCCCTACAGTTGTACTATTTCTCAGTCTTAAATAACTAATATTCAGACAAGTCTGTACCCTGCAGCCAAGTTCATAAAGACAAACTTTAAACGAAATTTGCCTTCAATTCGAACGGATAAATCTTGAAAGACAAAGAATATGCCCGGTTGATCATGTTCATCATTCAACTGATAAGCGTTAGATACGACAGCACCCATCAATGAACGTATAGGCTGTGGATCCACAAATGAAACGAGTGTACCCTTTGAAGAGTCATTGGCTATCATTGAATATGAGTCATGTGTATGGTAAATAAAGTAAATTACCATTGACTGTGCTGGATGGATTATAGACATGACCTCGATGATCCTGACCATCTTCAGAATAAAGGTCACATTGAACTACAAACAAAGACACATTACTGGTGTCTTCTCTTTTTTTGAGAGGAATCAATCAAACTGCTTTCTTTATCTTTCTTTTGCTTACACTGCATTCTGTAATATACCATCACTTCCTTCTATAAAGAGTTGTAAAATAGGGGGTGGATCAATCGGTCTTCTGTCCTTTTCTCCAAAACCGCAACTTCTTGCTCTTATAGGATTTTGAATAATTTCTATTACTTTAATAAATAAAAAAGACAAAGAACGACATAGAACAGCGTTCATTACTTAGTTTATATCTTTTACTCTTTTGACTTGGCCTTCCTAGTCCAAGTGGTGGAGGAACTATGGAAGTCATATACAGTAAAATAACTTATTTTAAAACCCAGTGAGTATAAAAAGGAAAAAAAGGGATAGACTCTAGAAGAAAATAGAATATTATTTTCAGCTATAGATTTTTTCGGTTTAAAAAAGAGTCACTTTTCTGTGTATTGTAATACACTTAAAGTTTATTTTCTAAACTCTTGGATTGCTTTAATCTTTGAACACTCTTCAATACTTCTTCCAAAGGAATGGTTTGTCCCTTAGCCTTGGTACCAACGTCGTCACGATTACGAACATTCACAGATCTTGTACTGGCTTCTTCTCCTCCAACAACAAAGATAAAGTTATACTGTGCTAATTCTGCATTTCTGATCTTCTTATTCAAAGTATTGTCTGATAAATCAGCATCAGCATAAATACCCAAGTTGATCAATTCATCAGTAATCTCCTTGGCATAATCAAAGAAAGCAGCGGCAACAGGAACAACTTGAACTTGACGAGGTGATAACCAGAAGGGGAATTTACCAGCAAAGTGTTCAATAACAATACCCATCATACGTTCAACTGATCCAAGAATAGCACGATGAATAATTACTGGACGTGACATGCTTTCACTAGAATCAGTAGATTCAGTACGATATTCCAAATTGAATCGTTGTGGCAGCATAAAGTCAAGTTGGATAGTGGCACACTGATGCTTACGACGAAGGGCGTCAGAAATAACGATATCAATCTTGGGACCATAGAAGGCACCATCTCCTGGGTTAAGTTCCCATTGGATACCCTTCTTTGAGCAGAATTTGTTCAAAGCATCTTCCAACATCTAAAATAACATCATTAGCACGTCATCATTTCTATTTTTATTTGTATCACCTTTTCGGCTTTATTCCAAACTTCAATTTCACCAAGGTAATTTTCGGGGCGAGTGGAAAGTTTCAAGTGGAAGTCGAAGCCAAAGATACCATAGATGTGGTTCAAGAACTCGAAACAGCCATTCATTTCTTGTTCAATCTAAACAGACTGAGTTACCCTTTTCGTGCTATCTCCGTGTTTGTATTACCTGATCAACACGACAGAAAATATGTGCATCATCTTGTTGGAAACGGCGGACACGGGTTAAACCAGAAAGGGCGCCAGAAAATTCATTACGATGGAGAACACCGAAGTCAGCGAAACGATAAGGAAGTTCACGGTAACTTCTTTCTCTGTGAGCAAACATCAAACAGTGAGCAGGACAGTTCATGGGCTTCAAACCGAATTCTTCCTTGTCAACATCAAGCGAGAACATGTTTTCCTTGTATTTTGCTGCATGACCAGATTGGTTCCAGAGTTTCATGTTGAACATGTTGGGAGTGATAACTTCGGTGAAACCTCGTTTCATGTATTCATCCTACGATTTCATTAGTAAAGTACTATTTTACACACATACGCACAAAGGCGGTTACCTTTATCAAATTCATCAAGCTATTGTAGATACGAGCACCATGAGGAAGCATAAAGGCAGAGCCAGGAGAATATTCATGGAAGAAGAAGAGTTCTTGTTCCTGCAGGCATAATAAGTCTCTTTTGTGTTTCTTGTTAAAGTATATAATTTACCTTGCCAATCTTACGATGATCACGCTTAGCGGCTTCCTCCATAAATTTCTTGAATTCAGTCATTTGTTTCTTATCAGGGAAAGAGACACCATAGATACGTTGAAGTGAGTCGTTCTTGGCGTCACCCAAAAAGTAGGATGCAGAGCTCTATTACATGTTAACACCATCCGTAATCTCCTATGTCTTTGTTACCTTGGTAATAGTGAAAGCCTTAACACGTCCAGTGTGAGGAACATGAGGACCTCTACACAAATCAATCAAGGGACCACATCGGTAGACAGTGGTAGAAGTACCATCAGGAATCTTATCGTTGATGATATGAACCTTATAAGGGTTATGCTTGAACATTTCCAAGAGTTGTTCCTTGGAGACAACAAGACGTTCGAAGGGTTGCTTCTCTTTGGCAACTTGACTGACTAATTTTTCGAGACTAGGGTAATCATTTTGGCTGACAACACTGTATATCTTGTTAGTTTATTGATTATTCACACCCTTTGAACTTACCGATCCTTGACTCCCATTTCATAATAGAAACCTTCATCTAATGGGGGACCAATACAAAGATGGCAACCATAATGTCTTTCACAAGCTTCACCAAGCATATGGGCAGAAGAGTGCCAAAAGACCTTCTTGGCTTCGTCATTTTCAAAATCAAGCAATTGCAAATTACAAGACTTTTCGAAAGGTCGAGTCAAGTCCCAGAGATCACCGTCAACCTTGGCAATGATGGTGCGTTCGGCAAGAGACTTGGAAATATCAGCTGCTAAGCTCAAAGGAGTGGTTTCCCAAGAGACACCTTCCTTGGTTGAGCCATCGGGCAAGGTGATAGTAATGGGTTCACGAGGCTTCTCTGTTTATACAAGTGTAAGTAATGTGTAAATAAAATGGGAGTTGAGTTCGTCTTACTAGCAATTTCCTCATCAGCTTCTTTCTTCCACTTGTCAAATAATTCAATACGATGCTGAAGGTATTCAGGAGGGGGATTCATCTTAAAGGGCGGTGTCAATTAAGCGCGTATATTCATAGACATGTATTATACCTCAAGTGGGTACTCGGTAGCATTAGCATCCTTAGCCTTAGGCTTCTTGACGGCAGCCTTCTTTTCGACTTTAGGCTTCTCTTCTACGGCAGCGGCTGACATATTGTGAGAATTAAAAGAAAAAAATAAAATATTTTTGAATGAGCGAAAAGAAATGGGAAACAAGCCACACTTTATATAACCATTCGCCACACCATGAGTAATAATGATACATGTAAAGCCTTTGCTGCGGTGTCATGGACAATGTCATAAACACGTGTCAGAGGGAAAAGGCGTAGGTTTGGTTACTGACAAAAAAAAAAAAAAGAAAGAGTGCTAGTGAGATACCAGTCTCAGCTATGAAGTAAACTTTATTTAAGCAGTAATAGTAGTAAAAAGACCTCTTAGACTCTCGGTCACTTCTTTAACCGAATTTACAATTTGTCTCTTGTGCATTAATCCCATGGCCACAGTAGCACATATAGTGGCAGCTGCGGCTGTTCCCATGGCTGCATTTAACCATCGAGTCTGACGATGCCAACGATCAATGGCACGGGAATAAGGAAGCGTAGAGAAACTGACCATAGTATAGAGTGGAATGATGAGGGTAGGGAAGAGTAAATGAATCGCTCCTTCTAGTTTCTTTCTAGCCAAGAATTTATATGAAGTAACCGCATGTCTCATCTCGTAATAGTTATATAAAGCCAAATCACAGATAGCATGTGCATCCTTCACACGTATACGAGAATACTCATCCAGTGCTTCTTTCAGGTTCTGGATGGTATTATTTCTGACAACAGGGGCAACTTGGTAGCGATCAAGGATATTATGTAGCACTTCTACATCTTGGAAACCGCAATTCATTCCTTGTCCGTAAAAAGGAACCATGGCGTGCGCTGCATCGCCAATGATTACAGCCTTGTCGTCAAGATGATGGGGAGAGGCCTTGACTGTTACGAGTGAACCTCGGGGATTGCTAAAGAAGGATGACTTTAAAGATTTCTCGCCGATAAGTGGAATGGCATCGTTAAAATGCTCTCTAAAGAACTCCATCAATTGTTCTTCCGTCTTAATGTCATCAAACATCTTGAATGGCATAAATAGGGTGCATGTAAATGAGAAATCCGGATTTGGGAGAGCAATGAGCATAAATGTGTGTCTTGGCCAAATGTGAAGATGGTTGGGGTCTAAAGCAAACGCGTCTTCTCCATTAGGGCCGTGTGCAGGAGGCATAATCAGTTCACAGTAGCCGGTGTCAATATATTGTTGACTGAAATCCAATCTATGTATTTGTATGAGATACAAGTAGATGTGTTAGCTGACTATCTTTACCTCATATGACGCATGATCTGTTGTCTTGTCCTTGAATAAGCGCCATCAGCTCCAACAATCAGATCACTTTCATATACAGATGTACTTTCATCTGCAGTAATAAACTCTAGTTGATTTTTATCGAAATCCACGCGAGAAAGTCTGTGTTCAAAATAGACAGTAACGTTGCTCATACGCTCGGCAGCAGTTAAGAGCAGTTCATTGAGTCTAGCTCTGTCCACTGCATTAATGTGCTATTGAAGCTGAGTGATTAGATCTATCATCAGAGTTCGCCCTGGCTTCCTACCTCTCCATGGACAGAATAAGGTTGGGACATCTGCTTACCCTCTTTGCCTATATGTACCATTCTTGCTTTCATGGGTACAGATGCCTCTAGGATGACATCCTCGAGCCCCAACTTGGTAGCTCTTAAGGCACTAAGACCTCTTTCTGAAAGAGCTAAGTTGATAGATTTGCCCTTTCGACTTTCTGTATTCAATCTCATATCTTTATGAATCGTGAGAAAACATCTGTATCTATAACGACCATCTCTGTGCTACTCTACCTGGTCGAAGTTCAAACAAATCTACTTTCCAGCCTCTTTGCGCAAAATAAATGGCGTTCAAAGAGCCTACCAACCCTGCTCCAACAATAGCCACAGTTGCTTTTTTCTCTTCTGTTGACATAAAAGTAGTTTTGTGAGAAACAAAAAAGAAAAAGAAAAAGAAGGATATTACCTGCTTTATAACCGTCACGAACTTTATTTATTTCCATTTTTGGTATTCATTCTGTACACTAGAAAATTAGTTTCTAGTGGTTAGATTTTTACACAACCAAAAAAATGAAAAAGTTCAGCAGGAAGAAAAGAGACGGATACTTCCTATGATTAGCTCAAGCAACTGAAAGAACAGTAGTATTGGCAGCTGATAAGGTCTGAGCATATGCATGTACATTAGTACAATGAGGATGTAAAAAAATTAAAGAACTTTATACACCTGTTAATAAAGAGATACAAAAGCATAAATATCGTTCTTTGAATAATCAATCTCATTAAGAGCTACTTTCATCAAGTAAAACTGTCTTTTTAAAGTATGCTAATAGGTTACATATGTATAATACAAAAGCAATGCTTTAGATCAAGTTCAGTGCAGCACACTATATCCACTTGAAATATCATGTGAGTGAAATTATGCTACTGTATGTTTCAAAGAAAGTCAAGCAAACGTTGGAGAAAGATTACATATTAATTATTAACAGAAAACTAAGTGTGAGAGTAACAAAATGAAGTTTTTGTTTAAGTAAGCAACAGTTTGATTTCCAAGCCATGTTAGAAGCAAAGAGAGAGTTTTGAACAAGTAGAGACTTTTTCTTTTGATAGCCAAGTTTACAGAGCATATAGATGATTTTCTTTTTGATAACCAAAGTAGAGAGCAAATTAATTTTGTTTTTTTGTTTTTTTGTTTTCCAAAAGGTCACATTAACCCTGTCTGTCAGCCCAAAACTTCCACTAAATGTCATCAACCGACTGCTGCCATTAATAATTATTAAGCGTAATCGCCCTGAAGCAATATTCAAAACTCAATCCTAGAAAATTGGACAAGGGAACAAGGGAAATCTTAGAGCTTCAACGTACAAAGAGTGTACTTCTAAGTACCTAGAACGAAGCAAGGGAGATTACGCCTTTCATACGAGACAGCAGCAGAAAAATGCCAACAGTAACTTGCGTCAAGGGTTACCCAGCATAGAGAAGCAGTGGTCTATCCGGTTAGCTTTTTATATACTTTTTTTCTTGTAGCATTTGCTGGCATAGTTTAGCATAGTTTGGAATAGTAGGTCCATGGCGTTTCTTGTGGCTTCAGAGCTTGAATATATAGTTACTCCAGAGCAGTATTAATTACTAGCAGACATTGATAGGCATGAGCAAAATTCTTTAAGGACTTTCCAACGTTAATAAGCATGGTATAGGCATTCGCTAGCATTTTCAGGCACTAACTATCATTTGTAGATATTGATAAGCATGAGTAAGTATTTGAGTATTTGATTGTTTGATTGTTTGAGTGTATTAATAAACAGTATCAAGCATTTTTTGAGTATTAGCCGTGAGAGGTGATTATGATAGAGTAAGATGCATCAGGAACCAAAAAATAGAGTCAGCAAAAAGTGAATTTTCTAAACGATGGCATTAGCTATATGTCCTTTGAGACCACCCAAATGCTGTTATACCTTTTCAACATAAGAAATAATAAATTCATAGCAGAGTTTTAAAAAGAAATAAAAAATGAAGGAAAAAAAAGGAAAAAGAACAGAAATGATGATCTCTTTTATAGCTTTTTGTTTACGTGAATCATATTGTTTAGGTTGAAAATAAATGACTCATTCTTCCTTTCTCCAATAATGTATGAACAAATAAATATCTCATTCTCTATCTCTTCCACATTAGAACATATCCGAGCATCAGAACTCCTCTTCCCCTTTTTTTGCATAATCTTTTCATGGGCCTTTTTCTTTTGTAAGGCCGCTTGTTTACAAAAGTTGACCTCACGCACACATACACACACGTATAATTTCTTTTTATTATGATCGCTTCACTTTTCTCATTCCCACTGCGTGTTTTTCTATTTTTCTGGTCGTTTTCTTTAAGAATGAGTAAAAAAAAAAAAAAAAAAAGGGGAGAATTAAATGTACAAGGGAAAAAGCTGAGAGGGGATGGCATCCTTTAAAAATGCAGCTGATAGTAATTAAAAAATAAGGCTTTTCTCAAAGAGCATTAGGCTACTGATTCTGTAGAACACATGCAATTAATTCCACTACGGTTGTTATTTGTCAATCAAAGAAAGAAAGTCAATCATGATTGACCTATTTGGTTAGCCACTCTGGCTTGTCTCATAAAAGTAATAATGAATTATTATTTTTCGCTAAAAAGAACCAAAATCAAACCATCCTAACCTTTATGTGACAAAACCTGTTTATCAAGCATGAAGCATAGATGACTGAGTTGCTGACTAAGGAAAACATAAGAGTGTGTAATGTTTTTATTTTCAGTTTTAGTGCACATGAAAAAAAAGTGAAAGGTAAAAGGCAAAACGTTTATCCTCTATTCCATATTGTTATATCCTTATCCTCGCTTCTGCTTGTGAAATGCAGATCAATATTAACGACGACTGTTATTGTAATAGATTTGATGACTATACGTTCATCTTTACAGTAAAGCAATGGATCTTCCAAGTCTGCATAAACTATTTCAAATGCCGCTCGAAACAGGATGGGTTGCTAAGGTACACGACATACTTCACTTAATAACTTTATTGTCATGGATGCTCACTTATCATGAACGAGAGGTATTAATGAAATAAAGGTGTTAGTACAGCTAAAATATTAAAGATGACAAGCGAAAAGAAAGCACATAATAGCAAAATAAACATAGCAAGCAGAGCAAATATACTAAGAGTAAAAAAGTAGACTCACTAGGCACTAAAGCAGATTTATATTCAAAATTAACTTTTGTTGCTCTAATAATTATGTTAGATTGACATACTAATAAAATCAATCTAACAGTCTGACATTTGATTTATACATTTAGAAATATCATCAAGTTAAACAAAATGTAATAAAATCATATTTACATATTACAGAAAAAGGAGAGCCTTGGATCATTTGAGATTCTGTGCATCAAGTATGAAAGAGCAGCCTATCTACTTAATCAATGTACTAAAATAAGATAGCTAGTACGCTCATTAGGTGTAACCTAATAAAAAAAAGTCTTGATCATTATACATTTTAATACAGCATATTATTTATTATCGTCAATGGCTTAGGAAGATTATCAGAAAAGTGTAGCTCATCCTCATGATATGCTTGCTATGCATCATACATTGGCGGTCATTCAATCTTTTTGAAAGCTTTTAATTGAAGGAAATAAATTTTCATTTTCTTTCAATTAATCTTTAAGCAAAAAATGGTTGCTTCCACTTCTTTGAATGTACTTCCTGATGATCCTACAGCATATAAAACACAAGAATATTGGGAGCAACGATATCAACAGTAAGATGATGATAAGAAAAGGAGAAAATTGAAAGAATGCTCACCTTTAAACAATAAGGGAAGGCGTCAGCACAACCTTTGACTGGTTCAAGACATATGCTGATTTAAAGCCTTTTATAAATGAGGCAATCCCTAATAAAGGTTCCAAGATATTAATGCTTGGATGTGGAAACTCTAGTAAGAAATAAAAAAAACTCTTAAGGTTTACACACACTAATATATATATTCTATATAGCCTTAGGAGAAGATATGTATGCAGATGGATACAAGTATATTACCAATATAGACTACTCTAAAACCGTAATTGAAAATATGAAAGCACGATGTGCTGATAAACCAGAAATGGAGTGTAAGCAAACATTACCTTAATGATCAAAGTAGAACACTCATTTATAATTACTAGGGTTAGAGATGGATATTCGAGATTTAAAATTTGAAAATGAATCATTTGATGCCGTAATTGATAAAGGCACAATGGATGCTTTAATGTGTGATCGAGGCGACGTCTGGGATCCTTCAGAAGAACTGATTAAGGATGTCAAGGGAGAGGTCGATGAAGTTGAACGTGTTTTGAAAGTAGGAGGAATCTTTCTATACATCACTTTTGGCCAACCTCATTTCCGTAAACGGCACTTACAAAGAGATTGCTGGACAATAGATATCAAAACAATGGGTGATGCTTTTCATTACTTCTTTTACACCATGTCAAAAAATAAACCATGCACAAATGTGGCTTAGAGCACCCATTTCATTAAATAGGAAATGCTCTCTTTGTCCTTTACACTGTATGTTTAAGCGATTCTTTTCTAGCCTACAACCTCATGCTACAGAACAGTTAGAAAACCTCTATAAAATTGTTCAATCTGTCAATAGTATGTCAAGTACCATTCAGAAACGTAGCTTGTTAGCTGAGAGTCAATCATGTCATTCTACTTTAAAGCGAATCTATGATCCTCATCTTCGACATTTCCTTTCTTCAAAGACTGTTCAGTCATATATCCAAAAATTGCCTCATATAAACCATGGTAGCCAATACAACAGCCTGGATCAGTTACTGGACGCTCTTTCTTCTCGAACTATTACTGGGAAAGAGGCTCTAGAAGCTGTTGCTGCTTTTTATGCAACTTATTGTAAAACAGAAGCTCAAAAGAGTATATTTTGGAGAGTCCTTGATCGTAACTTAAAGATGGGTGTATCAACAAAGACGATACGACACCTGTTATCAAGCACAAATGATCAACGTATGACTCTGGTCCAAGTGGCCCTTGCTCATACTTTGGGAAAGAAAAAACTGGATTTTACATCCACACCATCTTGGTATGCTTCTCAAAAACTGGATGGTATAAGGTGCATTACTTTGGTTCGTTCTAAAGACGACTGTGATATTCAGTTTATGTCTCGTACTGGGCGGCCATTCTGTTCTTTACAAAAAGTTGGCCTAGATATTCAGAAGCGGCTAAAGGAAACAAAATTGAAGGAAGATTTTGTATTAGATGGAGAGATTTGTGTGTACAATGAAAGTGGGAAAAATGAGGTATTCAGTGCGGCACTAAGTCAAATACGAAAATTAAATGAAGAAATGGAAGTGCCAATCTATCAGATATTTGATTTTATCCCTATGGACGTCTTTATCAATGGATTCGGTGAGATCCCATTCTCTTGTCGACAGGAGCGTTTGAAAGCATTCTTGGGCAATTCACCGCCGGAACATTTAAGAATGGTTCAGCAAGTAAAGCTAACAAGCGAAGATCAGCTCAATCAAATGCAAGAGGAAGCTGCTAAAAACGGCTGGGAGGGACTGATTCTAAGGAGAGATGTAGCTTACGAAGGAAAACGAACGTAAGCAATAGTATAGTTTATTCGTCCTGACGCTTACTCATATCCACTGTAGTAATGATTTATTAAAAGTTAAAGAATGGGAAGATTCAGAGTATATTGTGAAGAGCATAGAGACTAGTTACCAGAGAATGCCAGACACAGGAGAAGACAAGCTTGTTTTAAAAAGCGTCAATATTGAGCATAAGGGACATACTGTTAGCGTTGGCTCTGGATTCTCAATGAATGAAAGAATTGCTTATGCTAATGATCCAAGTTTAATCATTGGCAAACCCATTACAGTTAGATATTTTTCTGAAAGTTTCAATAGAAATGGCACGATATCCCTTCGATTCCCAACCGTCAAAGCTGTCTATGAACAAGGAGAAAGAGATGTATAATAATAAATAAACAATTCATCACTTCACGCGGTCAATATTCTATACAAAACATGAGGTTATGGCATTTATATTTAAAGAAGCATCACCTCTTCCTAGTTACCATACATCTTGACGCTATTTCTCCAAATGGTATGTGTTTGGAGCATGTGATATCAATAGAATTTACCATTGCCCAAGGCGAAAATAAATGCGCCACTTAATAAAGAAATAAGCATTTTGTGTTCATAAATATTTGATCGAGACATGTGCCTGATATGGCTAATAGATATACACAATAGACAATAGCAATAACGCGTTTATAGGTACTTGAACTTATATGCCACCACTCTACTTGAAGACTGATATAAGAGTTACTAAGGAGCATATTTGCAAACTATAGTGATTTAGTGATAATAAAAGAATGTAAGTCAAGGCATGAACCCTAAATTATCCGCCCTATCAGTATAGTTTATCCTAATAGGCTAAGCAGTGGGCGCCGATTTACCAATAGAACCAAAAGAGGTTTTGCTTTTGAATTCTGCTAGTATCTTTAAACAGTAAGATTGGTTGGAATACAAAAAAGTCTTGAAAATACAAGAAAGTCTTGAAAATGTAAGTGACACCAAAGTTAATTAAGGGATATTAATTAGGTTAAATTTAGAATAGTAAAAGCTTGCTGTTTTGTAAATCTAAAGACACTTTAAGGGATTACTATCCTTTAACGAAACATATATAAACTGATTACATATAGTACAGCTTGCTTATTGCTATGTTTATAATAGTATGGAAACTAGTAGCCATTACAATACTTTAATGGTGCTTTAAATCAGATAGAAAACAGACAGGAACAACAATGTAATTTAATTTGATTTATACATGCTGGGTATAAATAAAGGGCTAGCTGTGGAGAAGAAAAGGTAATAATAGTAACATTTTATTAATGACAGGAGATTCCTTTCTGTTACAATCATGTAGAATAAAAATTCTGAATCTTACAAGGTGACATTATGTGATTGATATACCTCAAGATAAAGTCATGAGTATAGTCAAACGTATACCTTACGATTCTTGAAATTAACAGCCTTAGTTGTGATAAGATCATAGCATGCGCATTTCAACTTTGCTAAGACTATAAAAAAGTATCTATGTCCATACAGCTCACATTGCCTTGCTGTCATGGGCGCAGCATTAGATACTAAAGCCAGCAGTACATAGTGGGAGTATTTATCGAGAAAGAATTTCGCCTGACACAGGAAGATGGCGATGGACTCACGCCACAAATCATTCTTGCATAAGAAAATAGCAGCTACTGCTAAGCGCTTGCTCTGAAGCTCCAATTCTTTTACAAGACAAGCTTAACTCTGAGGTTAATAACGTGAGTGAAATCAAAAAAACTGTAAAAGCTGTTTAATAAACAATCAAATCTGTAAGTGAATAATACACATGTGAAAAAAGCTAGTAACTGGCGCCATATAATGTGTATCGACACCGCCACAGTTTGCCTTAAATCACTGGAAAGGCGGAACAAACTGTTGTGATTTATATTTATAAATCAAGGGAAATATTGCATCCATGGAAGAGGTATTCAAACCCCGAAAACGATATCTTTATTTAATGCGTGCTACAGAAAAAAGTTTCATTGCATTTTCTTTTGTTTATTGTACCTATTTATTATTATTATGAAGTATTGGATATATGCTTTACTACTTATAATATCAATCCAAATAGTACGATGTGTTGAGGAAGATGACACATCATTATTCAGACAAGTAGATGAACGTCGACATCCCGAGGTTGACGACGATGATATAGAATTTAAAAGCATGCAAGACGTCACTGAGGGTGAAGAGTATGTAGATGATGATAGCAGCTTAAGCGAAATAAACGCAAAAATAAACAATGAAGACAACGATGAAGAAGAAGAAAATGATGAATTAGACGAAGAAGAAGAAGAAGATGACGATGAGGATGACAGGGACGAACTAGAGAATGAAGAAGACGAAGAAGAGTTCTTTGTATTCCAGAATGCAGAAACAGTCGAGTACTTTGATAATTTCCCACGTACTGAGGATAAGCAGAAAGTAAATATAATAAACGAACAGGATGACGTTGAAGAAGAACAAGATAACTCAAATACCATTGTTGATCATCAGGATGATCACACCAATGACGATTTATCCGAATTGCCGTCAAAGCAAGAAAGACCAGGAACTACAGCAATACCATGGCAACGTGTTGAACCTCACTCTTCTAATGAATTTTATCAAGATACTCCTATTTATACTCCTGAGGAGAAATTAAACCCTGAAAGCAATCGAATCTATGGAATCATCGGATTATTTATCCTTTGGGCACTCGTGATTGTAGCTAGAAAGGTAGCACACTCTTCCCCATCTTCTCTGTTGTATATAACTCTAACTTAATTTGTTTAAATTTAGAAATTGGGTAACACAGATTCAGCCTGGAGCTTCAAGAATTATAATGATAAAGATTACTGTTTGCCCGTAAGTGATTTACGGTTCATATAAAAGTAATAACCATAGTAACGTTACATAGTTACATAATAGGTATCTCAAATCCGAGATGAAAAGTTGTTAATATGCTAATACACACATACATTCCTTTGTAAATAAAACCCCACTTTTATTTAATTGCAAATTATATTGTTCTGTTATAGTAATTTGCAAGCTGTTGTTGCTGTTGTTGCTGCTGTTGATCATATAATGGTTGTTGCTGTTGTTGTTGATGCTCATGCTCATCTTTATCTTTCATGCTTGTTCTATCAATCTTTGTCGTCTAATACCAAGCATAAGTAATTTAACGCTCAAATTAGCTACATACTTCTCTGTATTTTGCGAGGTAAATTTTTAATGCTTCTGTATAGTTTTCAAAGCCAAGTGATTGCATTGCCCATAAAATGTCTTCTCCATTAATGGTTTTTCTCTTTTCCTGCTGACATCGATCACTTGCTACAAGTAAATACACGTTAATATAATATTATCAACTTGTAGATTTTTACTTGCCTTCACTTGTGATAAATGATATAAATTCTGAAACACATTCCTGTACACATTCTTTGGCTTCCTTTGCAATCTTTGCATTCTCTGGTAGTGCTTTTTTCATAATACGTGCAACACTATAAACAGTGTTAGCCAATTTATTGATACGAGAAAGAACACAAGCTATGTTACTTTGCAATAGGCAAAAATCTATCTTGCTCTTTAATATCAATTTCAAGTTCGTCTCCAGAATGTGCTGACATTATGTTTAAGGAATAAAAAGAAAAAAAGAAAAAAGTCGTTCTTGAACACACTATGTACACACTACTTTATCCAAAAATGGAAACTTTCTACGTCACCTTGTTTCTTTTCATGGGGGTTGATTTTTTTTCCTTCAAAAAGTAGTCTTTTTCTTACATTATGGCATCACGTTTCATTTGCAAAAGTCAATTCTTGAAGCAATCACCCATTCGTCAATTCTCTCGCTCATTTGCTTCAGAGACAAAACAATCAACTGAGAAATTCTCTCAAGAATGTGAGTATAGAGCATTAGCAGTAAAACATTACAAAAGTACTGAATAAAATAGCTTTTGGAACGAATGCCTGGAGAAACACCTTGATTGCTGTTGTTGGCCTTGCTGCATGGTATAGAATCGATCAGCATGTGACTCAATCTGGCGATGTAAGGCAGCTTAAAACAATATAATTGCAGTAGAAAAAGATATTAAAGCAAAAACATAGGAAAAGCACCCCTTTACAAAGTGGATTGAATATCACATGACCAGCTCTGAAGAAAAAGACAACCTTAATGCTGCTAAATTAGCTGCAGCTGAAGCAGTTGCTGAATACAAGTAAATATAGACAAGAATGCACTGAGCTAGTGCTTACGCTTTTTATAGATTATTTTACCAAGACGCACAACGTCCTCCCATCTATCGTATGAGATATCCTGAGTAAGACAGAAACAAACCACAAAAATGACAGTATATACTCATTCTATCTAATAGATCCTTTGAACGCGCCAGCCCTCGTGGACTTACCGCTGGTAACCAGGTTGATTTATCTGACCTCAAGATTAGACAAGATTAAAGCAATAAACTAAAAATTTTAAGCTTTGTTAATAAATGTTCCTGTAGTTCAACAATCATGAATACTCACTTGCAACTACGTTATAATAAAAGAAAGAGATGATCAAAGAGCTCTGAAGGGAATTTTCATATAGGAAGGCTTTTTTTTTTTGAACAATATCTACTAAGCATAATTTCTTCGCGTTGCTCTCACAATTGCCTATTCATAACGGAGCTTACTGGATTAAATAAACTGTTTATGGCCAAAGGGGTATCTTGATACATCCAGCTGCCTTGATAAGCAAAGAGGCCGTATCTTTTACACCTCTTGGTCAATCTTTTTTTGTTGAAAGCAATGAGCAAAATCTCTGTTGTGCCCCTCCGGCTTCAGTTTGTCGTTGCCCGGTCAATTTTGGACTTATGGTTGAGCGACTTGATGGACTTTTCTTTTGAATATAAAAGCGATGCTAATGGAGCCAAATTTTGCCCAAAGGTACTAGATGAACTTAATGAGTCGTGCTTTTGCGATATCTTGGTTTTTAACTATTTAATATGGTCTCCAAAATGATTTTTTCAATAGACATTCAAAGCTCGTTTTGAAAGTTTATTTTCGTTTCGTTTTATAAACAGGAATGCTGTTCTTTTCTTTTACAGCTTGGAAAAATAACAGAATTAAATCTTGGTCGTATTTGAAGTTATCACTGTTGAGCATTCTTCAAACAGGAATAAGCTGTTCTACAATAAGCAATATAACTGTTTAGTTTATTTCTCCCAAGAGCTATCTATTTCAACTCTTGCAGTATATACACATACAAGCAGTGAGCCTTCCAGAACTTTAACTGTTCCTTTGTAAGTCATCTCGGCTCAGTTCGAAAATTTTGTAGAAATCTACAAGCAGATGTTCTCACAAAGTTTCTTCAGTCAACTTTTTTTAAACAGAAGATAATAAGACAATATAAGCAAAGAGCAAATAATACTTAAAGTTAATAGAGTGTGTTCTGTAGTATAATATGATTCCTTATTATGTAAAGAACAATCTTGAATGAATCATTATTAAAAAATGCACTACTGCTTCTACTAGTCTTCATTAACCCCTAATTGCTACTTCTTTTTTGAAAATGTTCAAACAAATATATATATAAGCTATCGGCATCTTTTTTTCATTCTTTAATATAGTTATTGTGGGGTTTATCTTACAGATGAAAGAAACGAAGATAGGCAAGTAAGGCTTACAAATACTCTATGAAGAAAAGATGGAAAAAAGAGATGACGATTGTAATTGAATGACCGACGTCTTTTTATAGGACCAAAAAATGTGTCGGTATCTTAAATTTTTAGTATAAATAGCCGTAGTTTTTTTTTTTCTCATTTTTTGTATAAAAGGCATTTTTTCTCTTTTCTTTACTCTTTTTTTCTAACTGTAAGTTAAAAAATGCACTCCGTCTATCTTTCTCCTTACGCTTTTTTTTTTTATATCTCTTGTTATTAACCACTTGTCCTTTAAAGGAAACAAAGAAATTCCAAATAAATTCAAGTTTATTTTTTTTGACATTTAATCTCAAACGTAATCATGTCTAACGCTATTGTGGTAATGAAACTGGAAACTATTACTTATTTATGGCTTTTATTTATTTACGCTTCTGTTTATAAAAACAGGCAAACGTGTACCGCTATGTTATTGATGAGGTTATTAACCAAGTTAGAGGTGATTTCGAAGACATGGGTATTGATGAATCTGTATTACAAGAATTACAAAGAGTAAGATATCAGAATTGCTATATAACTTGATACTAACTGTGATAAAGTCTTGGGAATCAAAAGTGGCTAGATCGCGAGTTGCCAATTTTGGTTTTATTAGGGATGAACCTTTCTATGATGACGAGCATTCAGATATGCCACCACCCTCATCAAACGGAGTGCATGCGAATGACAATGTAGACAATAATAGCCATCCTATTTTACAATATCCTCATAACCAAGATGTAAATATAAATATATATAACATAATGTCAATAATGACTTTGATTGTTTTTGTCTTTTTTTATCTTGTTTTTCTCTAATCACCTTTATAGTACAATCAAAATGCCACTAGTGCTCCTTCAGTCGCAAGTTTAGCTAATTTGGCTGCAAGTAACTCACGATTACAACAACAGCAACAGCAACAGCCAAACTTTGGTCTTCCACCACCTCCTAGAATGATCCCTGATCCAAGCACATTGGCTAGTTCGTATCATATGATGCAGCCACCTTTAAATAATAACAATAATGCAAACCCACAAAACAATCAACTTCCTGAACTACAATTACCTGGTATCGCAAGACGAAACCTTCCTCAAAATGATGGTGCATGTGATGAATTGACTACAGAGGTAAAAAAAGAAAAAAAAAAGATAGACCGCTTTATTGTTTATATGTGTATATAAACAAGAGGAATTATATTATTATAGGAAATCGATAAACATATTGAATATATAATCCAATCAAGTCAAACGCACTCAGAAGAGGATACAATTACCTTTTCAGCAACCTCATTTTCTGGAGAACCTATTGCATTAGATTCACTTCCTGAACACGTGAAGCAGTTGATAAAGGACGTCAAAGGAAAAACCAAAAAATCCAATGCTAAGATTCTACAGTTAGATGGGGAAGATGATGGAGAAGAAGGAAGGGTAATGTAGTCTGTCTATAGATAATCTAATACCTAACCATTACTACAGGGAGATGACGATATAAATTCAGATTTGGATGATACAGATGACGAAAATGAAGAAGGGGAAGGTGGTGAAGAGATTGAACATATCATATTATGTTTATATGATAAAGTGACAAGAACAAAAAATAAGTGGAAGTGCGTATTAAAGGATGGTATCATGTTGGTTAACGGAAGAGACTACTTGTTCCACCGCGCAACTGGTGATTTTGAATGGTAAATTGTAAAAAAGAAAAACAAAGAAGCATGTGTTTGGTGTATGTAGAAAGAAAAAAAGAAAAAAAAAGATATTATCGTTTATATAATGGATCTAAATCACTAAACATTGTATTACTGTTATTATTGTTCATTACTGATTTCGTGTGTGATGTATAAAAGAAAAAAAAATGAAGAGGTGTTAATTTATATACAGTGTATGTCTCTCTCTCTTCACACTCACCATGATTAGTATTATTGGTTGTATTTCGTGAAAATGATAAATCACGCAAGGCTGCATAAGGATCATTATTGTTATTATTATGACTTATTGTTGTAGACATAGCTGGTTTGATTATGCCATTGTTATCTATATATAAATATTTAAGTTTAGTCATTCATTTGGTGATAGGTTGTTATTACTTGGTAGATTAGGCGTACTGGGTGATGAGGGTGACTGAGGTTGTAAGATACCACCTGAATAAATAGGCTTACTTGGAGAAGTAGGTGGGTTAAGATCTGCTAATTCACTAAATATATCATTATTCTGCTGTCGTTTAGACACATTATGGGCAAATGTAGGTGATTTAGGAGAAAGCATCATGTTCTATACAAAAAGGGATTAGTATTGTTACTATTGTTGTGTTGACAGTCTGAGCTTACATCATTTAGTAGTAAGTGGTCTATATTTGTTGTTGTCAACTTCTTTATCTGTTCAGTACTAGTCAAGTTTGGCAGTTGACTCTGTACGGTTGAAATTAGGGCAATAGGTACATTATCATCTACCCATGATGCGGTTGGAACGATCTTGGGTCTATTGTTATTATTATTGCTACTACTGCCACTACTACTACTATTGCTGCTATTGCTAGTACTAATGCTCTCATTCATACTCTGATGCTTTTCTTTCGGTTTTTCCGTTCGTTTCTCTCGATCCGAATACATTTTGGTAATAATCTGCTTTACTCGTTCAGCATGCTCTACACCCTTTTTTCTATCCAGCCACTTTTGTTCATAGTACTTTTGCCTCATAAACATTCTTACATCACCATCTGTTTCTGGGTCAGGCGTAGACATGTTGTAAGTACTTAGCCATATCGTACGAGCAACTTCATTGCCTCCATACTCGAGTGCAACCACTTCAGGCTCAGAAAATTTGCTTGCAGAGATAGATTTAACTCTATGACCAACTTCTCGACTAAGATAAAAACAATGAACACAAGTCCTATAGTTTTACTTAAACTTACACTAAGCCAGAACATCGAGCACAGATAAATGTTTGAATACTCACATTGACAAAGAAAGGGCTCTATTGGAGCATGCATTTAGTTATAGTTACTTCATTGCAAGTCTTTTCTTACTCTTGTTGGACAATCAAAGCATTTCTTGTTTTCTGGAAGAAGTAACAATCTCTTTATTCGCCTAATGCTTCAAGTTAGTTTAGGAGCTTCTTTTTAATTATGATGAACTTGCTCTAGATTCTTTTCTTCCTGCTTTTTTGTATTTATGTGTGACATAAAGAGAGAAAAAAGGGTTTTACAAGGTGATGAAATATCTTTGCATTTTCAGTGTAACAAATTGAATATCAGCTACCAATCGTTTAAATCTAAGCCTTTATTTCTTAAGCCAAGAAATTAACAAAATTTTGTGCATAATCACCTTTTTTTTTTCTGTTTTTAATAGAAAGCATGCCCAAAAGAAGTCCCAAAGAGTTATGCGGTAAGATCAAGCATGAATGATGACACATTATCTAATGGTTCATAACAGATGATGTACAACAAGCTGTTCAAATATTGGATCTATTTACAAGTAAATGTTGCAACAATGGCTATGAAAAATGACATATAGTGCAGCAAAGACTCATTTGGAACTTTAGATACAGCAAAGAATAAAGATTTAAAAGCACTTATACCACAAGTAATATTACAAAATGCTCATGGACTGCTCTTCATACGATTGATTCGTGTCGGTATGGCACTTTCTGTCAAAGGCGGAACAGGCATCATCATTGCAAGGTACAAAGATAGAGAGTCATTGTATGACAACCTTCTCATTTTCGATGTAGACTTCCTGACGGCAGTAACATCATTTTATAAGAGTATCAATTAACACAAGTTAACTGTCTTTGATTTTAGGTTGGTCAGCGCCTTCAGGAATATCTATCTCATCTTTTGTAAATTTCTTCTTTTTAATATATACACTCACTCATGTTTATAACAATAATAACATATATGCATATGTAGGGGCTAGGCCAAATGTTTGGAGGAGAAGTGATTGACTCAATTATTGTGATGAATTACCGGGCCGCAGTCAAAGCATTTGTTGATGGCGGGGGCCAGCTGAGTTTGGGTGTTGGTGTATCTATTGCCGCTGGTCCTTATGGCCGAAGTGCGGATGTATCAACTTCCATGTCTAGAGATCACATCGCTGCCACCTATTCCTATAGTTCATCCAAAGGTTTCTATTTTGGTTACTCAATGGAAGGATCCAAAATTTCAGAAAGAGTTGGAACAAATACGGCATTTTATGGACGAACCATCAGTGCTCGAGAGATCTTGACTGGTGCTGTTCCCCCGCCGGCCATAGCAGAGCCATTATATAATAAACTAGAAGCATTAGGCGCCGGAAGAAAAGTACAACGTATTTCTTATATGGCTCCACCGGTACCGCCAGCACAAGTACCATCAGCCCCAAGATTCTCACTTCAGCGTCATAGAAGCGATGTTGAAGATGCACCACCTTCCTATGATTCCGTCATACGCGATGATCAGTCTCGACTGAATACGTCAGATTATGCTAGTTCATTCCATACTAGATGGAGCAAGCCTCTACCATCCCCTCAGCCAATATCAAATAACATTATGCCATACACCAATGATATCAAGCATCGTCCAAACACAGCAATAACTCATGATAATTATTCTCCTGGGCCTTTTTTTGCCAATGAGACTAAGCATCTTTCTGGACCAACTACTTATGACAGCCATTCTTTTGTCAATAAGACTAAGCAACCTTCTGGACCAACTACTTATGACAGCCATTCTTTTACATCACCTTTTGAAAAGGCTACTACTATTACTACTGCTAGTACACCGTTGCATCAAGGTGCATTAGAACACACAACCAATAGTAATAACGCGCCATTCTCTCTAGTGATAGCCAAATATGACTATTCAGCAACACGACCTAATGATCTGTCTTTTTCAGCAGGAGATCATATAATTGTTACCAAAAGATTACCCGATAGAAATTGTTGGTGGGAAGGAGAAATAGGTAATAGGCGAGGCTTTTTCCCTGCAAATTACACAGAAGACTGTGATTAAGAATATAATATAATAAAAATGACAATTGCTTTATTAAAATGAGATATATATGTGTTTGTGTAAGTGTGTTATGTGCGGGTGTAAAAGTGGGTGTGTGTATATGTAATAAAAATAAAATAAAAGAGATAGAATTAAGGATGATGAACAATAAACACAAAGGAGACCCTAAAATAGGTAAAAAGATAAAGGGGGGTTAAAATGAGAACTGTATACATTGGTAAAGATGAAATAGTGTTATGAGTTGTCTAATGTTTCCATGGAGAGTAAAGATCGTAATGATCTAAACTGTTGAATGTTGATTCTTGCTGCAAATGAGTCTTTGTGGTTGAATGAGGACGAGCGATGATGGTTGCATTCCAAGGGGACTGATCTGACCAAAGTGAGCCGGTACTAAACTCGACTGTACCCGCACCCCAACCTCCTTTCCAGTCACCTGTCCAGCTGCGGACAAAAGCCAAGAAGCGGGCTTTTTCAGCTTCAGAGACATGATCAGAACTGACTGATTCAGCGTCAGAGGAATCAGGCGAAGTGGAGCGTGAAAGAGTAGGTGTTTTCTTTGGAGGAAGCTTCTTTTTGACGATTTGCTGTTTAAGCTTTTCGATCTCTTGTTCATAATTCACAGAAGAGTTCATGCCGGCAAATGGGTCAAGGCTATATTTTCTATTCTTTTTTGTATCAGACCAACGTTTTTTCTCTTCCAAGGTTGAGGGTATAAAATGGGGACTGGTAGAACGATTGGGTACAAAATCAAGGACCATGGTTGGGTACACTTTAGCTGTAGCCTTTTTATGTTTCTACAATACACAATAAATAAAGCAAAGAAGAAAAAAAGATAAGAAAACGAACAAGGAAAATAAAAAGGGAAGAAAAGAGGTAAATAAAGTTATTATAAGCAAGACATAGTAAAAAGAAAAAAAAAGAAAAAAAAAAAAAAA